GTGGGGGGGTGGGGAAACTAATACAAGAGTTATAAACAACACAAACAACATGCCCGGTACATGTTTCTGTAACTCCGTTTCAAACAGGATGAAAAGATTGGAACTGATTTCCTCGTTTCAGATCTAATTTTTTTGGTTTCAGCAGGGAAGAATGACAAACAAAATGCATTGCTTCTGCTCGGGTCTCCATCGTTCAACATTCCCCTCTTTAGACTAACCTATGTGATTATACTAAGCTAGTACAACCCGTCTTTAAGAGACTTTCCTTCACTTTCAAACTATACCAGGCAAAAAACCCCCCCAAAACAGTTGTAAATACATACCAAACAGAATCTCATGAACTTGAACTTATCACAAAATACGTACATTATCAATAAGTCACATAAGTAGCTTCAAGTTTCAATAATCGAAACATTTCTTCCAAGTAACAAAATGCAATAAATATAATGGCTGTCGTTCTCGTTATTGTTGTTTTTTTCTGTTCCTTTCAAACAGGTTTTTCATGTCAACGAATTCCCCTCAGAACTCCATGACCGATGGTGGAAGCAGTCTCTTTGTTTGACCACCGGTCATCTCACCGATCATCTGTCCAGGCTGAGATAATGATGATCCGACAGAAGGATGAGCAGCTCGTTGTCTGCTGGCTCCTGTAACATGTCCCTGCATCAAGAGGAAAAACAAAACAAAAACAATATTAGTCGGTGACCATGGCAACAGCAAATATACCCCAGGCTGAAAGAGTCCTTTTGGTCTTCTTATATGAGTTTTGTGGCACTTGCAACACAAACAGGTCATTTAAGTGCCGAAGATTAAGAGGTGTTACTACAGAGTAAAATAAAAAGAAAAGAAGAAGGGCAGAGAAGGACAATAGATGTTTGATATGAAAGAAGGAGCAAACCACACCATAGCGCCCGCTAACCACCCACTAAATGAGCCTGTCCTGAAGATATAAGAAGCACTATGTAATAAAATCTTTGACAAGTTAACAGTTTCAAGCTTAAAAATAAAAACTGTTGAGAATAAAATCAAAACATGATATGCACGTATAGATCTACTTAAAGTGGTCAAGCTAATTGGAAAAAGGCTGCTATCGAAGTAAACATTATCTTGTTGGGTACATTATTGATGATTTACCTGAACACAATGTGTCCATTATTTACGCTATCTAATATTTATTTTAACATGTTGGGTATATTAACGAAGATTTACCTGAACACACGGTGTATGCTATTTACGTTATTGAGGAATTACCTGAACATAAAGTATATGTTATTTCCGTTATTGAAGATTTATCTGACCACACTAAGTACGTCATTTACGTTACTGAACATATTAACCCTATCTGTATGCCTGGGGTCATTTTGTACCCCCGGGGTTGTATTCTTCACATTTTAGAATACTTCTAGCACGAAGATCTCTTTGAAACTTTCAGTATTTCTCAAAAAATCATTTCGACAAACTGCTAAGCAAAGCGTACGGATCGGATTAACGAGTGAATTTCCTCTTTGGAAAGTGGTGGCACAGAGTTCCCCACGTCGTATGGATACGATAGTAAAACACAACGTACGGATAGAGTTAAGTATGTTATTTACGTTATTGAAGACTTACCTGAACATACTGTGTACGTTATTGAGGTAGACAGAGACGGTCAGGCCTTCGTAGCTGCTGGACAAGGCTGCGGCCGACTGGACTATCTGATGGCGCCGGTCCCACTTCATGATGAAGTTCTGTTAAAAAATACCGAACACAATAAACCCAGGTGCCCTTGCTTTCTGAGAAACATAGCTACAATCTTAGTTCCCAATATTTAAGCAAAACAATATGAGCTTGCACAAAAAAACAAAACCTTCACGTTTTACAAAGACCACAATGTAGAGAAAAGTGTGTTTTTATCCACCATGTAGACAAGTGAACCTATTTTGATAGTGCTTCTTCAAACGAATGCACACCCAGTAAAAGAGACTTGTTGCCGAAAAGTAATTTGACGCTGAAATCATCGTAAAGGAATGTATTTGAGCCGGTGCCAACTGCTCCCCGGCACAGCATATCTAGCTGCGAGCAGCTGGGAGGGGCTAGCCAGAGGTAAGGAGTTAAAAAAGTTGCTCCCTTAGAATTACAAAGTTCTATCTGACATATTTGGCCATTTTGAGTTACTAAATAAGACCATGAGGTCAGAAATCAAATATTCTATCTGCTCTATCAAAATCGTAAGAGTATTCAGATTCGTTATCAAGATATTCAAAGAACTGCAATCGAAAAAGCTTGACATGTTGTGAAACTCAAAATTTTTAACGTCAAATTTCTCAAAACTAGGTGCCGAGCGGATAGAACTTAGTAATTCTGTGGTAGCGGAGTATCTAAAAATAGACCAGCACGTTACCTCCATGATGAGAGCGGTGAAGAGATTGAGGACGATGATGACCGACAAGAGCCACCAGGCGATGAAGAACAGGTACGACCATCTGGGGACAGGGGACACAACTCTTGTCAGGAACAGATCTCTGGCTTGTCAGGACTGCTTGTGTTCTTGGGGTTTTTGGTTAGTGTTTTACGGTGCATGCAACTGCATAAGGTCATATGAATGAGTGCGTGGGACACATTAAGCATTTTCAGTTTGGAAGGTATTTATTTTGAATTTTACCCGGGGAGTGGCCAAAGCCTTTTCTTATTGATTTTAGGACCACCAAGGGATCTTTAACGTTTGTGACTTGCACACGGGACCTCCGAGATTTTTTGGCCCTTATCCGAGAAGGTTAGGTATTCAGTTTTACCTACCATAAGATCAGGGGTGGGGCTGAAAGACAGCAGTAAGAAGGAGCCAAGGAGTAGCAGTAGAAAGGCTGCAGAAAGAGTCAGGAGCCCAGAGGGGGCAAAGGAGGTGTGGGCAGAAAGTGGAGACAAAGCAGACAACAGAACGTGAATAGAGAGCAGGAAAGGTGGTGATAGGAAAAAAAATGTATTTGAGAGAAGAACATTTTCCATCGCTGTCAAGATTCTAGTCCGGGACTATTGAACGAGAAGGGAACACCGTAACCTCTAGACCACAAGAGCCCCCTTAGCTGGACTGCATTGTCTGATCAAAAAGTGTCCACCTTCAAATCCCACATGTTGGAAAGCCTACTACATTGTTGTTTAAAAAAATTTTTTGAGTGGCCTCTGAGCCCAAAAATCAGTTTGTTTACAGCTGAAGTGAAATTTCTTTTCTCAATGTTGAGTAGACCTAGCATAATGCTGCTTAACACTGCCGCCATGATGAGGGTTCGGGTGATGAATGTGCTAGATCTAACGGTTTTAGTTTTGATTCTAATTCCATTTGGGGTAATCATGTAATCGTCACATTCAGTTTCCCCAATGTACTGAAAAATGTCAAAATGATGAGGGTATTTTTGCTGAGATACAGGTCAGTACTGATGTTCTCCATCTCAATCCTGGTACGTTGGGACAAAGGTTTTACACTCTGCATAGTGAGTGGGCAGGTAGTGTTAAAGATGAATGAGAAGAAGAAGAAGACTCAATTAGACGAGGAGCAAAACAAGGGTGTTGAGGAGACGGCAGGTCTGTGTACTCACGGCGAAGTTTTCTCCCTGAACACCTGCAGGAACACGTGCCAGTTGTTGACCACCATCACGTCCCATAGAATAAAAAATCACCCTTTTTTTTAAAGGCACCCTCTTTAAAAAAAACAACAAAAAAACCCAAACCCAAACGATTATATTACTAAAGACAAAAACAACAACACAACAGCAACAACAACATTTTCCTTGTATATATGGCGTCCTGTCTGAGGCCTTGAGACAAGTGTTATTGTAAACGATCAAGTTACTCACGGTGAAGTTAGCTGTTGACACTGTTTGACTAAAGGTACATAACTCATGGAAAACTTTGGGGAATTTGTGAAACCATCGTGTTTGTGTCCCTTGGAAATTTAATGCAAGACGGATAGAGATAGATAGATAGATGGATAGATAGATAGATGGATAGATAGATAGATGGATAGATAGATAGATAGATAGATAGATAGATAGATAGATAGATAGATAGATAGATAGATAGATAGATGGATAGATAGATAGATGGATGGATAGATAGATAGATAGATAGATAGATAGATAGATAGATAGATAGATAGATAGATAGA